GGATGACAATCTTTTAAAAAGACCCCTACCAGGGCTGGACTTGAAGGCCCTCATGCGGTCGGCCAGGCTCTCCCTGCTGAGCCGGCCGATGGGGACGCGATCGCTCAGCGCCGCCTTGATGTCGGCGTCGGTGAAGGACATGGTCTGGACCACGCGCTCCACCTCCGGGCTCAGGGCCTGCAGAACCTCCGGCAGCCCGCCGGCCCGGCCCGGCCGCGCCCGCAGCAGGGCCGTGCGGCGCTGGCCCACGTACACGTTGATGCCCTGTGGGGGGGGGAAACGCAACATCAAAATCAGTCATGCGGGACAGAGGAGGACAGCTCCTGGCATCGCCAGCCGAAGCCCTTTGGAACGGTCCACTTCTCGAGCGCATGATCACCTCGTGTAAGCCATTTAGAGCAGAGCTGAAACAACCCTGCAGATGCAGCTCCAGGACAGGAGCTGGGCATGTCTGAGGTTCGACACTCTGTCACAGATATCAGCCGCTACCTTGTTACTGACAGAGAAGAGGAGACCAACCAACCAACCCAACTAGCTCCTCTGATTGCTGCTAAGAGTGTAATCCAGGTACAGCATCCTTGGCCATCATTACTTCAATGCCTATACTTCTGAAGGTCACAATATGTTGAGTATTATGTGGAATAAAGACAGGCAATGGTATATGGGTTCTCTAGTGACAGAGACTCTAACAATATTTAGTAGCGACAGAAGCCAGATTTTCAACACTGAAGAATTTTAGTAATTTGCCTGATTTTCCAGCAAATTTGCCAGATTGCTCTTCCGGCAGCAGTTGTTCCCAGGAGGTCTCCCATCCAGGTACCAGCCAGGCTCACCTCAGATATCATGACACTTAGACGCTTAAGGGAAGCTATTTTTCTGGCTCTGTGTCAGTCCTCTCTGTGCAGTTAAATAGGGTTCCTCAGTCTGAACAGCTGCAGGAAAGCTGTATACAGTGTATAGTCATGCAATTTGTTCTCTCGTGTGCAAAGTGTGTCAGTGCTTTCTCATTCCTGGAGGTTTTAAACCAGAAGGAGCACATGAGTGTGATCAGGACTCCTCCACTGGGTCATGCACAGACGTCGAAGGAGGAGTTTTGTTTTTGGCATGCCCTGCTCTGTGCATGGTTTTCAAGCACAGGGGCCTTGCAGCTGTGAAGAGAGACTGTGTTCAGTGTGTGGCACGGAGGGGTGTCTCACACAGCACAGGCCTATGGGTTTGAAAGATGAGCTCTGCTCTAGACTATATGCAGCTTCAGGTCACTGTGTGTAGGTGACAACACCTACCTCTGGGAGCAGGGGGGAGGACTCTGGGATCACGTACACAACCACTGAACCACAGGGGCTCTCGCTGAGCTGGAACAGAGAGAGGTCAGCTTCTGCAGGAGACATGAAACATTTCTGTTAA